GCATAAATTCTATGCAAGAACCCCCCAAAAAAGAATCACTTCAAAAACATCCTTTCATTCAGTGTCTAGGCAGAGTATGACATCAGATTTAACTGAGTGAAAAGAAAAAAACACTTTGTCTCCCATTCTTTTTGTGTAAAAAAAAAAAAAAAAACAAAGGTTAAAGCTGCAATTGAAAATGCTTCTGAAGATAATCAAATGTGTTAATACATGACTTAGAACCCACCACAAACGATTTTCAGTGGAAGTGTCTGAATCTGCATATAAAAGAATCTCTCTCAACAGTGCCTTCAAGTTGCATGCTGATGAGATACGTAGTTTATGGAAATATTGTTTACTACCAGTAGTTACCAATATGAACTTTTGGGCAAATACAAATCAGCAACACACACACACACACACACACACACACACACACACACACACACACACACACACACACACACACCCACACACACATATATATATATATTTATACAGGTATATATGTAAATAAAACAGAAAATACCTGTTATGAATGCCATATAACTCCTTGTAAGAGAACAAGTTGTGCAAAAAGTATAAAGGTATTGATGAGTTGGACATGTGCATTCAAACTTTAAGATACAGTAAAATTTCAATCACTTTAAAGTTAGTGCATTTTAGGTTAATCTGGTAAACTTGATCCAAAAGTCGAATATCCCTAACTATATACATACAGTTGAGTACATCCATCAGCTTAGCCCTTGATTCAGTAGCTTAGCATCATGGAAATGGACATACTTCCCTGCTCTGTCGTGCCATGTGCTGTCACCTGGAAATAAATTTCTCAGGCTGGCACATTTGCAAGTCAACTGCGTGACTGTGAAATAAATGGCGGCCAGTTTACCATTTTACACATCAGTCTGGACGACGCTGATGTTGGCCATCGAGAGAGTGGGTGGCCGCTCACCCAGGGTGCATGCACACGCGCACGCACACACACACACACACACACACACACACACACACACACACACACACACACACACACACACACCCATTCCCCACACACCACACACCAACCTACACCCACACCCACACACACACACACACACACACACACACACACACACACACACACACACGATATGGTATGTGCGGTTATTACAGGTTTGATTAGGGAATTCCACGGGGCAATTGGCTCAAATGAGGGCTGACAGTTTTGGAGGGTAGCAAACAGCTGGAGAGCTCATCTCTGCCAGCAGCCATATTAAGGGGGTTTCACTCCCAGGTGCATCAGCTGCTATGATGTGTGATTAGGCCACAAGTAATGAAGAGCTGATGAAAGTAATCAAGGTGCATGGAGCAACATCAACATAGCTTGGGAGAAAAATGATGGCAAATTTGCTCTGGGGAAAAAAAAGTAGACTCACAGAAAGACCAGTTTTGCTAAAAAAAAAAAAAAAGCATTGAAATTCAGATGACTTTATGGTGTGCAGTCACTTGACAAAATAAAATTGAGTACATTCAATGCACCATTGATTCTTTCAGTGCAATATGATTATTGTGTGATTGTTTTTTTATACTGTCGTCGAATAGTCCTGCATATCTGGCTGTAATATTTTAACCCTCATATATAGCTAGAAAAAAAATTCTGTTGGTGTAATGACCGAGTCTTAGCTCATACTTTTGAACTTCTGTATTTGTAAAGGGAGAAAATCGAATGCGGTTCTTGTGCGAGCCTCATTAGGTAGTGTCCCACAAGATCCCAAACCCTGGAGCCACTTTTCACATCTGTTGCTTAGCAACGCTGACACTCAACACACAGCAAGCAGGTTTGTTCCACTTTGCGAAAGCATCTTCTCAAGTCAGTCTCTCTTTATATTATCACCTAATTGCTGTCCCGAAATCAACAGAATTTGCTGCAGGCCTCGGTGAACTTCTCCCCTGACTTCATTTTTGGGGGGGTTGTTGGCCAACATCTACGCGTATTCACTTTGTGACACTTCCTGTGAAATGATGTCAAAGCCTTGTGGAAATGAATCGACATAATCTCACCTTAGTGCAATATGTATGAGCAACCACTCGCTGTGGAGAAAGAAAATTTGGCCTGTTGTAATGCGCAATGTGGGGGTTCAGATCCCTGGGCAACTTGTAATTGCATTTTACTGGGATGTGTCTTTTTCCTTATCCTTTCCTCTTACAGCGGGGGTGAGAACAAACATGCTCAAAAGAACTGAGAGATTTCATCACACGCTCCCATGTGGACTTTAATGAGCCACCACAAACGACTAAAGTTTGTCTTTCACATTTCTTCACCCGCATGTCACCCGATGAGCTGGTGGGACGCACATGAAAGACGAGTTTAATGAGGTGACAACTACAGTGACTAAAACTATTTGGTGCGTGAAGTGCGCTAATTCAGTGTTAGTCTCCTGAGAACTTCCTTTATTTTTTTCCAGCTGAGCTTGTGGTCTTGTTTACAAAGGTAAACGGAGTCAAACTATGATGAGTTTAGGTTTGTAATCAGTCAAGCCTTCGCTTGCCGTTCCAATCAATCACTTCTTAGTGTCCGCATCTTTGTTGATAAAAACGAAACTCCAGACACTCCTCATGGTCCTGTTCGGTTAACTTACAAATGAAATTCAAGGTGGAAAAAATCATTCAAAAACGGCAAAAACAAGAATGACACGGACAGAAGAACAACAATGAAATATCCAGTAATGAGGAGAAACCAAGAAGACGGTGAGAAGTCAATAAACTGTGGCCCTATCTGTGTGCCACACAGGACCTTGTGCCTTACAGGCAATTAAATCGGTACGTGAGGAAATCAAATAGCAATGACACAATCTTCAGAATTAAGAAAGCTCCATGAAATGATTCATACTTTAAATTACGAGGGTCGCAGGCGGAGCCTTTCCTTGCTGTCTTAGGGGGCAGCAGGCGGGGTACACCCTGATTTGGCTGCAAGCCAATCATTCATATCGCACGCTCTCTCTCTCTCTCTCTCGCTCTCTCGCTCTCTCTCTCTCTCTCTCTCTCTCTCTCTCTCTCTATATATATATATATAT